TGGTTGTTCAAACCCACGAGCCACTCCTCAGAAGGAAGATTGGACTATCTACTTCCATAGACATACTGCCTTGGAAACCCAAGGAGGGGTCACTGTGAGTCAGAAACGACTCAATGGCAGTGGTTCCCTGCCCCCCCCCCCAATATAGGCAATCTGAGCAGCCAAGAGATAAGAAAATGTGGTGGCAGTTTTCAGTATTTGGATTTGTTTGATTATGACAGGGTCGATGACATTACTAAAATAAAAGAAGTTTAGTGGGCTCAGGGCTGCAGGCTGGGATCTGTTGATTTAGAGAATAAATAATGCTGAACACCATGTACTCAAAGAAGGCAAAAATCTTTTTCCTCACAGGGCAGTGGAGTTTTTTATTTTGGTTGGCTTCATAATAAGAGTTCATTCAAATTTTAAAGTGATACTTCCATATATTATCATTATTACATATCTAATTGATGTTTAAATGAAAATAAAAATAGATTTCAAACATTTACATTAACTGTGTATACCAGGGATATGGAATTAAAATTAGGCAAACATAAAGAAATGAATATGTAAGAAGGACATACCATTTATTGAAGTCTTTGAATCAATATGGAAAACTTGAGCTGCTCCTAAGTTTACTGCTATTAGAGAGGCAGTGTACCATTGATTCTTGATTGTTAACTGTGCTTCAGTTCTAGTTCTGCTATTTATTTCCCAGATGCATTAAGAATATCTCTCTATTTCTCTCTCTTTGGGTGTCTACATATTTTTAATAGCTTTGTTGAATTATGATTTACATGCCATGAAATTCATTCATTTTAAGTGTTTAATTCAGTGCTTGTTTTTATGTTAAACTTACAAAATTGTGCAGTCATCACAACAATCCAGGTTTAGCACATTCCTATCCACTTCATGTCTCTTAATTTTTGTTTCTTCATCAATAAAATGTATTTACATCATAGGTTGTTGTACAAATTCAGTGAGATAATGACTGGCATATGATAAGTGCTTAAATAATGTTGTTGTGTTGTTAGGTGCTATCAAGTTGGTTTTGATACATAGCAGTCCTATGCACAACAGAACAAAACACTGATTAGTCCTCTGCCACTATCACAATTATTGATATGCTTGAGGCCATTGTTGCAGTGCTAATCCATCTTGTTGAGGATCTTTCCCTTTTTCTCTGACCCTCCACTTTATAAAGAAAAAGCAAACCAAACTGACTGCCATTGAGTTGATTCCGACTCATGACAACACCCTTTGGGTTTCTGAAGTGGTAAATTTTTATGGAGGTAGGTTGCCCAGTCTTCTTCTGTGGAGTGGCTGGTGGGTTTGAACCACCAACCTTTTGGTTAGCAGTCAAATGCCTTAGGCACTACACCACCAGAGCTCCTACCCTCCACTTTACCAAGCATGATATCCTTCTCCAGGGACTGGTGCCTTCTGACAATATGACCAAAGTAGGTGAGACAAAGTATGGCCATTCTTGGTTCTAAGGAGTATTCCGGCTGTACTTCCTCCAGGACAGATTAAGACTAAGGCTAATCCAGACTTGGAAAAAGGAAGGGGCCATCCACTTCTCAAAGAATTGGCCAGTGAAAACCTTATAAAAAGGCAAAACATAATACTCAGAAGTCATTCAAGGAGATTTCTGGTAAGATGGAGGAATAGGCAGACAAGCAATACAGACCCTGTTCAACAAAGAAAAGAAAAATCAATTGACAGAGATACGGAAGATAATCCTGGAGCCCTGAGCTTTGAAAGGAGCTATACAGTAGTGGATTAGGCACCAACTAGTGGAAAAACCTGAACGAAAACAGTGAGTACACAGACGGTTGGAGCTGTGGACTGTCAGCTACCCTGATAGGACCAACAGCCTCAATATTTCCAAGTGGTGTTGGGACCTGAGAATTCGCCGTTGGTCACCAAGGGCTGCAGGGATGACAGCACTGGTGGCCTATGACTAGGGAGGGAAACAGCAAGGAGGGAGACAACCTGAGCTGTTGACTTTCTGCTGTCCAGAGGGCACAGCCATATTGATTGTTTACATGTAGCAGCCATTTTGGATATTTAAAGTGACTGAGGGCGCAGTCATTTTGAATGTTTATAAGTGGCAGCCATTTTGGATATTTAAAGTGACTGAGGGCACAGCCATTTCGAATCTTTACAAGTGGCAACCATTTTGGATTTTAAAGTGATAGCATTCTCATTCGGATTCCAGGGACCTAGGAATAGGCTCTGTTTGCCAGGGTCAGCAGGGACATACAAGAGGCTGACAACAGGAAAGGAGACAGTTGGTGACTATATAAATGCTGTCAACTAGTGAATAGAGGAGCACACCACAGTACCCTGTTTGCGTAGATAACATACAAAGAAAATGAAAATCGTGGGCAAGTCACTCCAACATAAAATTACCAATTAAATATAAACACAAAAATGTCACAATGCCTCAGAGGCAACAGAGCATCACAGTCCACACAAAGAAGCAAGATAAAGCAGGAGAAACAAGGGACCATGATACAGACCTAAAACATATTCCTGAGGAAGATGCAGCATTGGAATTCCCTGATAAGGAATTCTAAAGAATTATATTTAGGTATCTTCAACAAATTGAGAGACAGATCAAGGAATACACAGAGAAAACCCTAGAACAATTTTGAAAGACAATACAAGAACAAAACGACAAAATAAATGAAAAATTAGAAATGATACAAAATCTACAGACAGAAATCCAGAAGATTAATACTAAATTTTCAGAAATAGATAACTCATTGAATGGGCTAAAGAGCAGAATTGAATCAATGGAAGACAAAATCGGTGAGATTGAAGGCAAGTACCTGAACACTTCTTTGGAAAGGGATCAATCAGAAAAAAGATCAAGACAAAATGAAGAAAGCCTAAGGTTCATGTGGGATACCATCAAAAGGAATAACCTATGTGTCATGTGTCATCAGAATTCCAGAACAGGAAGAGACAAATAAAACCAAAGAGAAAATGGTCAAAGATTTGTTGGAAGAGAATTTTCCTGGTATGCTGAAAGATGAGAATATATCCATTCAGGAAGTCCAGTGATCCCAAACAGGATAGACCCCAAAAGAAAATCACCAAGACATATCATCATCAAACTCACCGACATCAAAGACAAAGAAAGAACCATGAGAGCAGCATAGGAAAAATGAAAAGATACCTACAGGGGGCAACCAATAAGACTAAGCTTGGATTTCTCGGCAGAAACCATGCAGGCAAGAAGACAATGGGTTGGTATATATAAAACCCTGAAAGAGAAAAATTTCCAACCAAGAATAATGTACCCATCAAAACTGTCCCTTAAATATGATGGTGAAATTAGGACATTTTCAGATAAGCAGAAATTAAGGGAATTTGTTAAAAACCAGACCAACCTTACAAGAGATGCAAAAGGGAGTCCTTTGGGCACAGAAGCAACAACAGCCAACAACAACTGACGATCTTCACACATGATATAACCCAGAAACCAATCCAGCTATGGAAGTATCCAAAGTAAATAAGCCTACAAGATTGTAAACAAGGTACCAGAGACATCAATTGACAAATGAGGACAACTACAAACCAAGAAGAGGGAAAAAACTGTGTTGTTACAGAACTTCTAGATGGTAGGGAAGTCAAGATAACTACAAGATAGAATGGACTGTTCTAAACTGGGGAAGAAAATTATAAATCACAGGGTAACCTCAAAGAAAAATGATAAACCTTCACATCAAAAGAAAAAAAGAGGACCAGCACAAATATTTAGCAAATACTAAAACAATAGCAACGAAGGAAGTGATAACACGATTCGTAAACAAAATGCACTCAACATAGAAAATTATATGGAACAAAGAAATCAACACTACAAAAAAGCATATAACAAAAATGACAGCAACAAATTCATTTTTGCCAATAATTACATATCTGGCAAGGGACTTATCTCTAAAGATTTATAAAAAAACTTCAATGCATCAACAGCAAAAGGATTAACAATCCAATTGAAAAATGGACAGAAGACACTAATAGACACTTCACGAAGGAGGATATTCAGGTGGCTAGCTAATACATGAAGAGACACCCACAATCATTGGCTATCAGAGAGATGCAAATCAAAACAACAATGAGATACCATTTCACCCCAGCACTGATGGCAAGGTTCAACGAGACAGAAAATCAAATGCTGGCAGGGATATGGAGAGACTGGGACACTCATACACTGCTGGTTGGACTGTGAAGTGATCCAAACACTGTGGAAAGCAATATGGTGACTCCCTAGAAAGCTGGAATTGGAGATCCATTTGGCCCAGCAATCCCATTACTAGGTATATATCCTAGAGAGGTGAGAACCAGGACAGGAACAGATATATAAACACTCATGTTCATTGCAGCATTATTTTACAATAGCTAAAAGATGGAAACAACCTACATGCCCATCAGCAGAAGAGTGGATGACCAAACAAACTATGGTATATACACATAATGGAATGCTACACAGCACTAAATAATAATGTAGAGGCTGCAAAACACCGCATAATATGGATGAACTTGGAGGACATTATGCTGAGTGAAATAAGTCAATCACAGAAGGACAAATATAGTATTAGTTCGTTGTTGTGGAGGGTCAAGGAAAGGTTTATATATGAAGGGAAACTTTCTTTGTTGGTTGCCAGGGGTGGTAGGGGAACGGAGGGAATACTGCAAAAAAAAAAAATTTATATCTATATCTATATATATGCATTGACCCATGTCACTTTGGTTTTGTGTATTTCACTGTACATAAATTATATTTCAATAAAATGCATTAAAAAATAAGTCACTCAAAATGTTTCTATCCCATAAATAAATGCTGTGCATTGCTTATAAACAATCATAATTAACTAATGGTGACACTTTTTTCTCTTTTGAGCCTTCCAGCAAAGTTTTGAGACGTTGTTTAATTTCAGTGGTGAGGAAATATGGCCCATTTTGATTTAGTAATTTCTTGTACTAAGATGTACTTTCTCACACTTGTTTAGGTGTCAATCCTAGATATGTGCTGAAAAACTGGATGGCAGAATCTGCAGTGCAAAAAGCGGAAATGAATGACTTTTCAGAGGTAAGGTGGTTGACTTATCTTTATTAATTTTTTTTAAATAATTTAAAACACTCCATGTTTGAAATACATTTATTATATTTGTAGATATGCAAAACTATACTATTGCCAATACCATTTCCCAGAATCCTCTCTGCCTTGTGTCTCTTGCTTTTTTAAAACTGAAAATAATTTTCTCATATTTCTATTTGTTTTTTTATGTATTTAAACATTACAATATTCAATTGAATAACATATATTTACATTATTTGAACTTTTGAGTGTCTGATTCTGCTATTTATGGTTTTGGTTTGGAATTTTAATTTTAATCTCATGTTTGAAATCCAGTGAAAACTAATTTGAAGGTGCATCTCTTCAAGGGAATTAGCATTTGCTTCTGTCATGTATGTATGGTGTCACCAGTCTAGACCCATTTTAAATTAATTTCTTGACAACAGTGAAGATGAGTAAACTAGAGCTACATGCATTAGCATGGAAGAAAGTCAGATGCTTAACATTTAAGCAAAACAAGCAAGCCACAAAGGAATACGTACAATGTGTTACCACTTAAATATACTGTGAAAAGCTATGCTATGTATATATTTTTTAGGGATATGTGTGTATATAATAAAAGTATAACAAAATATAAAAGGTTGATAAAAATCTAATTTAGGACAGTGATTACTTTTCAGTAAGGAATAAATTTGGATTAGGGAAGGTTACTTGACTTCAACCATATTGGAAGTATTTTACTTTCAATAAAATGAATGGAGATACCTAGGTGTTCATTAAATTATTTTGTATACCTTCTTTGTATAAAACGTTTCATAATTAACTGGCATAGTTAGTAATGCAGTGTACATAAGTTATTTTTAGAGCAGGCATAGCCCTAGCACTTGTGCTGCCATTCTCCTGTCCTGAACTCAGAGAAGACTTTGTTAATGATCATGGCACTCCTTCTCTGTAAAACTGACCATCACCTCAGAATTATTCTCATCACAGCATATAATGTAGTCATTGCCAATTAATTGACCAGAGGTGGCATGAGAAAAAAAAAATTGTTTCTAACATGTAACGTGTCATTGACCTTTCATTTCTGACAATTCTGGGTTTTTACTTCAGAAAGTAAAATATTTTAGAATTCATTCTTTTTGTGTTATTAAGGAAAAACAAAGGGAAGGGAGATAACTCAGCATTTTTCTTTAGATAAATTTATCTAATCTAGGGTAACTAACTAGTGTTTAACTAGTTGTTTTGTTGGCCTGCCTCCCTTCCCTTTCTTTTGTTCCTCTCCTATTTTCTTCCTTTTTCCAAATTATATTTGTATTATATATTTATATTATATATTTGTATATCATATGAGTATTGATGCTGTGCCTATGACTGGGTTCTTCTTGGGTTCAAGTAAACATTCATGATCCTAAAACAGGACACATTTGGCCTCCGTCTTCTCAGAAAGATGTGATAAGAACCATAGCTTAGCAATAGGGTAAGATCAGGTGTTCCTCGTTTGCAGGAAACCTTGCAACAGTCCATGCTGGCAGTAAAGCTCAGATGCAAAGTAAGAGCCACATTTTCAGATGCCAGGACAGCCAGTGAAGCGTAACTTGAATTGGCTTAGTAGCATCATGCTGCACAAAATCCAGTATTTCTTGTACCAACCCTTGCAGGGTTGTTTCCAACGTTCCTGCATAAACCTGCCTTACAAGAGTCACCATACTTAGGAAAAATTGGTGAATTTGGAAAGATTGCAAATAATTGCCACCCTCTTTCTTTTTTGTAAATATTTTAGAAAATTATAATCCTCTTCCTAATGCTCTAAAGGAATCTTGGAATTTCTGGGAGATAGTTGTAGTCTTCAGGAAACTTAAGTATTCACTTTCCTGTTTTAGCCCAAAAGTAGTGCTTAAGGAATAATAAGAAATTTTAACTAATGACAGTAGTTGAGGTTTTAATAAAATATAAAAGGTATAAACATTTTAAAGCAAATTGAAAATTAATTTGCCACTTTAGAAACTAATTAGAATTACTAGTTTTTATAAACTGGTATATTTTAGGAAATTAATAATGGCCCTGAGGAAATCTGTATTTACCTACTTAAATTGTTTACTAGGTCCATCTTCTCCAGCAAGTTCTTCAGCGCCCTTTCCAGGAACATTCTGCAGCTGAGAAAGCAGGCTATTCCTCACCTACTCCTTCTTGGGCAAAAGATCTCAGAGTTAGCTGTTCATCTTAATTTGGGCAAAATAAATTGAGAAATAGTTTTATTATTGAATTAAACACAAAATAATTTAATTGATAAATCCTTAATGACTATGTATATTTTGATAATAATCCCACATTTATTAATAATGATTATATAAAAAAGTATTTTTTAGGCAAATAAAATGGTTCTTTGAAACATCTTTGTGATCTTTTTTGTTCTGATGAATAGCTTTAATAGAGTAACAAGATGTATTTGGTCAACCATATGAGTTATTTTCAATGACTAAGAATTCTTAAGACAATCTTTTCTTTTTTCAAAATTTTATTTATTTTGTTGTTGAGAATATACATGACAAGATATGGGATGTCCCATGAAACTATGACTCTAAACCTCTAAACCAGGAAACCAAATCCCATGAGGTATTCGATTATACATAAGCAGCCTCAGCAGCTACTCTTTTCGTCATTTCAAATATATTTATCACAAGCATTTTTCCAATTCAACTTTTTTCAAGTGTATGATGTCTTGATATCAATTATAGTAATTGGCTTTGCAACCCCACCCTTAATCAGTATACTCTTTCCATCACCATTAACCCCTTTTACTTTCTCCCTCTAAAACTTTGTTTTCTACATTTGCCTTTTCTTGTCTTTTTATGTAAGTGAGGTCATACAAATTTATCCTTTTGTGATTGGCTTATTTAGCTCAATGTCTTCAAGCTCCATCCATATTGTAGCATGTATTAAGACTTTGTTTACCCTACTGGATGAATAGTATTCCATTGTATGTATATTACACATTTTCTCTATCCATTTATCTATTGATAGGCATTTAGGTTGTTTCCACCTTTTGGCTGTTGTCAGTAGTGCTGCAATGAGCATTACAAGTCTCTATTTTAGTCTCTGCTTTCAAGTCATTTGGGTGTATACCTAGGAGTGGAATTGCTGGGTCATGTGGTAGTTCTGTTTTTATTTTTTGAGGAATTGCCACATTGTTTGCTACAATGGTCATACCATTTTGCATTCCTACCAACAATAGATAAGGGCTCCAATTTTCCCACCTCCTTGTCAACATTTTTTCTTTTCTTTCTTTGATTATCTTAGGCATCTTAGTGGAGTGAAATGGTATCTCACTGTGGCTTTGATTTTCATCTCTCTGATAGCTGATGGTGCTGAGCATCTTTCATGTGTTTGCTGGCTATTTGAATGTCCTCTGTGCTGAAATGTCTGTTCAAGCCCTTTGCCCATTTTATGACTGGGTTGTCTTTTTGTTGTTGAGTTACAGAAGCTTTAAATATATTTTGGCTCTCAGATTCTTGTCATATAAATGGTTTCTAAATATATTCTCCTAGTCAGTAGCTTGTTTTTCACTTTTTTATCAAGTTAACAAACAAAAGTTTTTAATTTTTATAAGGTCTCATTTGTTTTGTCTTTTGTGTTTGTGCTTTTGTTACTACATTAGACAATCCATCGTTGAAAGCTTGGCCTGACGGTGTTGCCTCTGCTTGTTCTTCTATGAATTTTATGGTTATAGTTGGCACATTTAGGTCCTTAACCCATTTTGAATTTGTTTTTATGTGTGGTTTGAAGCATTTTTTTATTTTTCTGCATGTGGAAATCCAATTTATTGAATTACATATTGAATATAATACTTCTTTCCCCATTGAATGGACTTATCACTCTTATAAAAAATCAGTAGACCATAGATGTGTGAGTTTATTTCCAGATTCTCAATTCTGTTCCCTTGGAGTATGTCTTTATTTTTATACTAGTACCAGGCAGTTTTGATTATTGTAGTTGTATAAAACCAAACCAAACTCACTGCCATCAAGTTAATTCCAACTCATAGCGATCCCCTTTCTGTTTCCAAGGCGGTAAATCTTTACGGAGGTAGATTGCCCAGTTTTCCTTCGGTGGAGTGGGTAGTGGGTCGCCAGCCGTCTGGTTAGCAGTCAAATGCCTTAGACACTGTGCCACCAGAGCTCCTTATTGCAGTTATATAGTATGTTTCAAAATCAGGAAGTGTGAGTCCTCCTATTTTGTTCCTCTCTTTCAACATTGTTTTAGATTTTTGGTGCCTCTTGCCATTTGATATAAGGAGCTCTGGTGGTGTAGTGCCTAAGACATTTGACTGCTAACAAGAAGGCTGGCGATTCAAACCCACTAGCCACTCCACAGAAGGAAGACTAAGCGATCTACTTCTATAAAGATTTACTGCTTTGGAAACCCAAAGGAGGTTGCTAAGAGTTGAAATTGACACTCAGTGGCAGTGAATTTGGTCTTGCCATTTGATACACAGTTGAGGATTGGTTTTTCTATTTCTGTAAAGAAGACTGTTAGAATTTTGGTTGGAATTGTGTTGAATCTATACATCACTTGAGGTAATATTGACATCTTGACAATACTAAGTCTTCCAGTCATTGAACATGGAACATCTTTCCATTTATTTAATTCTTTTTTAATCTCTTTTAGCAGTGTTTTATAATTTTCATTGTATAAGTCTTTCGTGTCCTTGGTTAGATTTATTCCTAGGTATTTTATCTCTTAGATGCTATTGTAAATGGAATTGTTTCCTTAATTTCCCTTCAGATTTCTCATTGCTGATGTATAGTAGAAGGCCAATTGTTTTTTGTTTGTTGACCTTGAACCTTGCAACTTTGCTGAATTCTTCTATTAGTTCTAGAAGTTTTCTTGTTGACTCTTGAGATGTTTCTGAATATAGGATCATATCATCCATTAATAGAGATAATTTTATTTGTTCTTTTTCAATCTGGATACCTTTTATTTCTTTTTCTTGTCTTACTAATCTGGCTAGGACTTCTAATACAATGTTAAATAGAAGTGGTGGGAACAGGTACCCTTGTCTTATTCCTGATTTCAAGAGGAAAGCTCTCAGTCTTTCTCTGTTAAGTATAATGTTGGTTGCTGGCTTTTCATATGTGCCATGAATCATAGTGAAGAATTTCCCTTCTATTCCATTTACAATACCATTTATTCCAGTCGTCTTTCATGTTTTCATCAAGAAAGGGTATTAGATTTTATCAGATTTTTTTTCTTTTTTCTGCATATAGAGATGATCATGTAGTTCTTTGCCTTTGTTCTACTGATGGGGTATACTACACTGATTGATTGTCTAATGATGAACCATCTCTGCCTTATTGGAATTCATTTCACTTGGTCATTCTGTATGACTCTTAATATGTTGTTGGATTCTGTTCATTAGTACTTTGTTGAGGGTTTTTGCACATATATTCATAATAGATAGTGGCCTGTAGTTTTCTTTTTTTGAGACATCTTTGTCAAGTTTAGGTATCAGGGTTATGTTTGTTTCATAGAATAAATTAGGGAGCATTCCTTCAAGCTTGTCTGTCTTTTGGAAGAGTTTAAACAATATTGATGTCAATTCTTCTCTCAGTGTTTGGTAGAATTCCCCAGTGAAGCCATCTGGTTCAGGACTTTTTTTGTTGGGAGATTTTCAATCACTGATTTGATAAGACAATCTATTAACCAAAATGAATTAGCAAGTATTGATCTAGTACTTACTATGTACTTAACACTTTGAGGCACATCTAATAAGTACATAGTTTAATTGTACTCCTAGAGGTTTTTTTCCCTCCATTATAGTAATTTTCAACCATTTACTAAAGCAGAGACAATAGTTTAATGAACATGATTTTCCATTCAGCTAGGTTTTAATTATCAATGCGTGGCCAATCTTGTTTAATAGACATCCCCATACAATTCCTCCCACGTTCCTAGTTTTTTTTTTAAAAGCAAAACCAATCCTATTGCCGTTGTGTCACTTCTGACTAATAGCCTAGAGGACATAGTAGAATTTCCCTATAGGGTTTCCAAAGCTGTAATCTTTACAGAAGCAGACTGCCACATCTTTTTTCTCAGGGAGTGGCTAGTGAGTTTGAACCACTGACTATTTGGTTAGCAGCCAAGCGCTTTACTGCTGTGCCACCAGGGTTCTTTAGTTACTGTTTTAATTGATGTATAATTTACATATCTTCAATTATTTTTAAGACAGTCCAAGACATTTGTTTCATTCCATCCACATAGATTTCTGTATGTGTCTTCCAATGTTAATGACTGAAAAAAAGCATGCACAAACAATACCATCATTTTTTGTTGTTAGTTGCATTAAGTTGGTGCCAACTCATGGTGACCCCATGTTATAACAGAACAAAATGTTGCCCAGCCTGTGTCATCTTCATGACTGTTGGTATGCTTGAGTCCAATGTTGTTGCTGCTGTATATTTTGAGTGTCTTCCAACCTAGGGGGCTTATCTTCCAGCATTTTTCCAGGCAATATTTTGTTGTGATCCATAGGGTTTTCACTGGGCAGTTTTCAAAACTAGATCACTAAGCCTCTATTTCTAGACTGTCTTAGTCTGAAATCTCTACTGAAACCTGTCATCCTGCTGGTGTTTGCTTCTAGCATCAAGGCAACACACAAGCTACCACAGTACTGACAAACTGACAGATGGGTGGTGGATACCATTATTATCTAAGACAAATGAACACTAATTCTCTAATGCATCAAGTCAAATATCCAGGAAGTTTTTACATTTTCTTATTACTTTATAAGTTATTATAGTCATAATCATATTTTATAGTTGTTTATTTGAATTGGGATGCAAATAAGGACTTTATATTGAGATTAAATTATATTCTCTCTGTGGTAGTTGAGTTTGTGTGTCAACTTGGCTGGGCCTGGTTGAGTTGCTGGATATAGTATTCCTCATGAGACTGGTAATCAACTCTATGGTAGAATCTACTGTGGGCAGCTGAGTAGCTGCCTTAGGGATTTGGTCTGCTTCCTGTATATAAGCAGCTTTTGGAATGGTCTCTAACTTATGGCACGCTTGAACCCTGCATGTAGCCATATTGTTGTTCACTAGCCTGCCATGCTCTGCCAATCTTGGGACTTTTAATAGACTTGAATTAATGGCCTGCCATGTGGTTTGATAACATCAGGACTGTGGCTTGTTACTTGTTGACCTTGGGTTTGTCAGCCTCAGCAGC